ATAGCCCAACTTTTCTCTAAGGATCTCAAGGTGGTGTACGTAATTCTCCCCCACCCTCTTTTAATCCCCACAACAACCCTGAGAGGTAGGTTAGGCTGAGAGTGACTGACTGGCTCCAAGGGGAGCCCCACAACTGAGTGAAGACTTGAACCCTGGTCTCCCAGGTCCAGGTCCAGGACTCTCAGCTCTACACGACACTAGCTTTTGGTAGGGTGTGCAAGTGTCCCACTTGACGGAGTGCAGTCCTCTTGTTGCCTTATGCAAACCCAGTTTAGAAAGAGAAAGAGAGAGCTACATGCCTGAGAACTACCTCATGACACACTGAAAACCAATTTTCAGTTTCTGCCAACATCCAAAAATCTACAGAATTGGGTAGAGCTTCTTAAATTGCATGTGACTTGGTGGTAACGGAAATCTAAAATTCTGTTAACCACCCCGAGACCTCCGAGTATAGGACGGTATATAAATTCAATAAATAAATAAAATAAAAATAATAGTTGCCCATTAATAGTTTGCAAGTGACCTGGGCCGTCTTGCCCGGTATGGTGAAATGCATCATATGCAGTTTAAAACCTAGCAATTATTTCTAAATTTGCATCTATCTCTTTATGAATTAGCATGTGCAGAATGTATGCAAATCTGTAAATCTTTTGTCCTACGGTGCCCAGAATTCTTTGAGGGAAAGAATATCATTTGATTGAGTTTTAAAGGCATAGTGTATACACAGTCTTCTTAGTATTGTGTATTGTGTTTTTAATATTCGGTTGGGAGCCGCCCAGAGTGGCTGGGGAAACCCAGCCAGATGGGCGGGGTATAAATAATAAATTATTATTACAGTGGTGCCCCGCAAGACGAATGCCTCACAAGACGAAAAACCCGCTAGACGAAAGGGTTTTCTGTTTTTCGAGCTGCTTCGCAAGACGAATTTCCCTATGGGCTTGCTTCGCAAGACGAAAAAAATTCTGGGTTTGAATTTCTGTGTGCTGGGTGGCTGGGGGAACAGTTGGGGAGGGGTTTGCAAGAATCTGGAAGCTTGTGTGTTTTTTTTCCCTGCATTTTTATGATTTTCTGTGACCATTGGGCCACTCTGCTGTTTTTTTTAAAAAAATTCTGGGTTTGAATTTCGAAATGCTCTTTACAGTATGTGTGACTTTAAAGAGCACTTAATAAACTCTTGTTGTACCAAATTTGGCTTTGTTTGGACTTTTTTTGACCATAGGAACGCATTAATTGATTTTCAATGCATTCCTATGGGAAACCGTGCTTCGCAAGACGAAAAATTCGCTAGACGAAAAAACTCATGGAACGAATTAATTTCGTCTTGCGAGGCACCACTGTATTATTATTATTATTATTATTATTATTATTATTATTAGCCATGATGACTATATATGGTACATATATCTTGTACACTGAAGTTCAGGTTTGCTAATAATTTGGTGTACTAGCAGTGCATTCTCTTAACCGTTTATTCTTTCTGTTTACAGCTGCTGCATATCAGGCATGTTGGGATAGCAATTTGGATTAATAACCGAGTGACTGGGCTGTGAAGAGAATTTATTGAGGATGGTTGCAGGAGAGCAGGCAACAAAGAGCACAAAACGGCAGCCCCTTCAGTGCAGCAAACAGCGTGCAAACAATAAAATTATTTCTCCTCGGCTTTTGCTCTGACTTCTAATGAATTGTTTCATTTCTTTATCATTAGTTATGGCAGCTTCACTATCCAGACCTAGGAGCGGGCAGGAAAAGACAAGATGGGCGGGGTGTGTGTGTGTCCCTTCTGCCGCACTTCTGAGCTCAGGGCACCTATGGGTGCCTCCAGATTTATCAGTGTTTTGCAGGACAAACTCGGGTGCATGGCGGCACTCTAGATTTGCACATTTAAAGTGGATTAAAGCAGTCTAGCACAATAAATACAGTTTTTTAAAGGTGCCCTTTTTGCAGTCTGGAAAGTAACAGGGAAGTGCATTGAAAAGTCTGGGTCGAACGAAAGATTAACAGGAAGATGTGCAAACACTCCAACAGAGAAATCAGAATGGATGACTGCTCCGCCCTGTGCACTGGGCAGTTTTCTGAAGCTTTTCCGATTGTACATCCTTTAAAAAATAAATAAATAAAATTATGCAATTTCCATAGTTTGATACATTCACTTTATAATCACTTATCCTACATTCTTTTACTTCCCCACACATCCCTCCATGGATTCATATTTAATCCTCATTGAGCTGCATTTCCTTAATTACTACCCTTCTTCTGGTTGTTTTTAACTGCTGCTCATATATCTTGTCCTACTTCGGAATTTATCTGGCTCCTGTAATTATTTAAGTATTCTCCATTTTATTCCCACTCCTCAGACTCATCCTGATTTCTTATATTTACAGTCAACATTGCTAGCTCCGCATATTCTATTCACTTATTTTGCCAGTCTTCTTTTGTCCTTCCATCTTTGTGCATAGATTATTCTGGCTGCTGCCGTTACACGAGGCGAGGCGACTGGAACGGTACACAGTACTCCAGATGTGGTCACACCACTGATTTACACAATGGCATCATGATATTGGCATCTTTATTTTTGATTCATCTCGGACACTGAGGTCCAGCTCCGAGGGCCTTCTCGCGGTTCCCTCACTGCGAGAAGCCAAGTTACAGGGAACCAGGCAGAGGGCCTTCTCGGTGGTGGCACCCGCCCTGTGGAACGCCCTCCCACCAGATGTCAAAGAGGACAACAACTACCAGACTTTTAGAAGACATCTGAAGGCAGCCCTGTTTAGGGAAGCTTTTAATGTGTGAGGCATTACTGTATTTTAATATTGTGTTGGAAGCCACCCAGAGTGGCTGGGGAAACCCATCCAGATGGGCGGGGTATAAATAATAAATGATTATTATTACATTATTATTTCCTAATGATCCCTAGCATGGGGTTTGCCTTCATCATAGCAGCGTTTACAGCTTCACTGAGCTCTCTTCTGTGACCCAAAGGTCCCACTCCTGGACTACAATTCCTACCATCCCTTATCAATGGTTGGGACTGATGCAAATTGGAGTCCAACAACATCTGAGCCCCAGTCCTGGGAAAAGGCTAATAGTGGTACCTTGAGATATATAAAAAAATTGTCCAGTGGCACCTTAGAGACCAACTAAGTTTGTTCTTGGTATAAGCTTTCGTGTGCATGCACACTTCTTCAGATACGTACGTACCTTGGTTTTCAAACATAATGTGTTCCAGAAGTCCGTTTGACTTCCGAAATGTTCCGAAACCAAGGCGTGTCTCTCAATTGGCTCCCAACTGCACAGGGGCACAGGAAACAATAGCGGAAGCCGCATCAGACGTTTGGCTTCCAAAAAAAAAGTTTGAAAACCAAAACACTCACTTCTGGGTTTTGATCATTCGGGAGCCGAAACGTATGAGTACCAAGGCTCTAGATTCAGGTAGGTAGCCGTGTTGGTCTGATGCAGTAGAAATAAATTACTAAATAAAATGTCCAGTAGCACCTTAGAAACCAACTAAGTTTGTTCTTGGTATGAGCTTTTGTGTGCATGCACACTTCTTCTGAAGGTGCTACTGGATAATTTTTTTAATTTTTTAATATATACCAAGGCGTTTAGTGATGTATGGAAGTGAGAGATGGACCATAAAGAAGGCTGATCGCCGAAGAATGGATGCTTTTGAATTATGGTGCTGGAGACTTGAGAGTCCCATGGACTGCAAGAAGATCAAACCTATCCATTCTGAATGAAATCAGCCCTGAGTGCTCACTGGAAGGACAGATCCTGAAGCTGAGGCTCCAATACTTTGGCCACCTCATGAGAAGACTCCTTGGAAAAGACCCTGATGTTGGGAAAGATGGAGGGCACAAGGAGAAGGGGACGATAGAGGACGAGATGGTGGGACAGTGTTTTCGAAGCTACCAGCATGAGTTTGACCAAACTGCGGGAGGCAGTGGAAGACAGGAGTGCCTGGCATGCTCTGGTCCATTGGGGTCACGAAGAGTTGGACACGACTAAACGACAACAATCAAAAGTGGAATGCCATGCAACTGAGATGGCTTCTGGCCACAATGGCTCGGTTCGGAGGCAGGAGTCCTCGAAATACCAGCTGCTTGGAGGGGAAATACCAGCTGCTTTCTCACTCAGGTCCCGCTTGCCTGATTCCCATCAGGGCATCTGTTTGGCCAGAACAAGATGCTGCGTTAGATGCCTCTGGCCTGATCCTGCAGGGCCTTTCCTGAGACAGGAGGGCCTGGCTTGCTCTGGTCCATGGGGTCACGAAGAGTCGGACACGACTAAACAACAACAACCAAGGCATTTGACAACCAAGGTACAACTTATACGCCATCCATCTGTCTGGGTTGCCCAGCCACTCTGAGCAGCTTCCAACAATATAAAAACACAGCCAAGCATAATAAACTGAAAGCTTCCTAATACAGGGCTGCCTTCAGATGTCTTTGGAAAGTTGCGTAATCAGATGTCAGAGAGGCAGGGATGGAGTTCCACATTGGAAGGCACCAGGCTCCTCACCTGTGGTTGTTTTTTTTTAATTATTATTATTATTATTATTATTATTATTATTATTATTATTATTTTGTATGCCACCCTTCATCTGCAGATCACAGGGCCCTTCTCAACATATAGCACGGGCTGCATCCTGTGGAGGAAATGGCCATGGGGATTCCTTGGCTGTAAGAGCTGCCGAATGGAGCCTCCATGTCCCGAGGCAGTCTACCTCTGAATCACCAGCGGCTCAGGGAGGGGCAAAGCAGCAAACCTCTTGGGAAGCCATTATGGCCTGCCCTAGCGGGGGCAAAAATCGACGCCAGCAAGACGCCACAACCTCGATACAACGACGGCCACCTTCCCCAGAGACCTGGCGCTCTCCCTGGACCTTCTGGACTACAACTCCCGTCAGCCCCCGGGAGAGCGGCCGAAACACGCGCGGGAATTGGAGGCGCCTCAGCTGCCTTTGGCCCAGTGCGGCTTCCGTAACGCGCGCGCGAGAAAGAGAGAGCGTGTCCCCGCGCGGCCGCCGTAGCGCGCTCTTTCTAGGGAGGCCTCAGGTTGCCATGGCGGCGGCGGCGGCAGTGGCGGTTTCCTTCGTCTCCGCTCGGCGCCTGTGAGGGGGAAGTGGGCGAGTGGGGCCTAAGTTGGCGCTGCCGACCCGGCCGGCCATGGAGGACGAGCTGTACCTGGAGAACATCGACGAGTTCGTCACGGACCAGAACAGAGTCGTGAGTGGGGGGAGGGGTGCGAAAGGGGGGGGGGGTTTCGCAGGTGCTTTAGAGGGGGAGGGGAGGGGGCTGTTGGGGGGGAGGGGGGATTGGGCGGAGCGGGGGGAGGCCCGAACTCACAGAATATATTTTATTATTTTTATATATAATTTTTTATTAGTTTTTTTTTAGCATATCATTTTCAACAGTAATTCAACATACTTTTACATCTTATTCAGATTTTTGACTTCCATCAATCCTGTCTGAAAATTTTCCAATCTAATCTCTCAGTATGCATTTCTTCTCTTCCATATTACAGTGGTACCTCGGGTTACATACGCTTCAGGTTACATACACTTCAGGTTACAGACTCCGCTAACCCAGAAATAGTGCTTCAGGTTAAGAACTTTGCTTCAGGATAACAGAAATCGTGCTCCGGCGGCGCAGCAGGAGGCCCCATTAGCTAAAGTGGTGCTTCAGGTTAAGACCAGTTTCAGGTTAAGTACAGACATCCGGAACGAATTAAGTACTTAACCTGAGGTACCACTGTACATCTTATTCAAATTTTTGACTTCCATCAATCCTGTCTGAAAATTTTCCAATCTAATCTCTCAGTATGCATCTCTTATCTTCCATATTACAGTGGTACCTCTGGTTACACACGCTTCAGGTTACAGACTCCGCTAACCCAGAAATAGTGCTTCAGGTTAAGAACTTTGCTTCAGGATGAGAACAGAAATCGTGTTCCGGTGGCACAGCGGCAGCAGGAGGCCCCATTAGCTAAAGTGGTCTTCAGGTTAAGAACAGTTTCAGATTAAGAACGGACCTCCGGAACCAATTAAGTACTTAACCCGAGGTACCACTGTACATTTCAAACTCATGACCAATATCTCTATCTTTTTCTGCTTTGTAACACTTCGTATATTTCTCCTTGCAAAACTTCTTGTAGTCTTACTAGCGTAATTTGTTGATTACAGTTGCTCTTCAAATAATTCATATACTTCTTCCAATCTTCTGTAAATCTCTGGTCCCGCAGGTTTCGAATCTTTCTTGTCATTTTGTCCTATTCTGCGTAGTCCATTAATTTCGTCTGCCATTCTTCTTTCGTCGGAATTTCTTCTTGTTTCCATTTCTGGGCTAACAATACTCTGGCTGCAGTTGTTGCATATAAAAACAATTTAACATCTTGCCTATTAATGTCCTGACCTATAATACCAAGTAAAAATGCTTCTGGTTTTTTTAAAAATGTAAATTTCAACATCTTTTTCATCTCATTATATATCATTTCCCAGAAGTTCTTTACTTTTTTACATTCCCACCACATATGATAAAATGTTCCTTCTTTTTCTTTACATTTCCAACATTTATTATTTGTCTTATACATTTTAGCTAATTTCACTGGTGTAATTTGCCATCTATACATCATATTCATCATATTCATACGAACTCACAGAATAATCATAGACTTTGAAGGGACCCCGAGGGTCATCTAGTCCAGCCCCTAGGGGGTAGGGCCCACACTCACCAGCCCTACTATGTTAAATATGTATTCTGTACAGCGGTACCTCGGGTTAAGTACTTAATTCGTTCCGGAGGTCCGTACTTAACCTGAAACTGTTCTTAACCTGAAGCACCACTTTAGCTAATGGGGCCTCCTGCTGCCGCTGCACCTCCAGAGCACGATATCTGTTCTCATCCTGAAGCAAAGTTCTTAAACTGAAGCACTGTTTCTGGGTTAGCGGAGTCTGTAACCTGAAGCGTATGTAACCTGAAGCGTGTGTAACCCAAGGTACCACTGTAGTTGACCTCCTTTCTAGTGTTTTCTTTTGAAATCTTTAGGATAATATCTTAGTTTTCTGTTATGTTGCTTTGACTGTATACCCTGCTTACTTCAGATTGTTTTATCTGTGTTTTATGGATTTAATATGCTGTAAACTGCTTTGAGGTTTTTCTTTAAAATATGAAGCGGTATAGAAAGTTCAAAAATAAAATAAATAAAATACAGGAATCTTTTGCCCAGCGTGGCGCTCGAACCCACGACCTTGCGATTATGAGTCTCGTCTAGCATGAGTGCCAGATTTACATATAAGCTAAACAAGCTATAGCTCAGGGCCCCACTCTATTGGGGACCCCCCAAAAAATTAAAGAGGGAAAAACTGGCTGTATATTTCCAAATATAAGATAAAAAACAAATAAAATAAAACCTACATACAGCAACAGTGTTTTGTGTTGTGTAGGCTCCTATTTGTTATGTGCAAATGGCTTTAGATACCTATTAGGTCCGTAAATTACCATATAGCATATATTCAACACACAAAAACAGCGACCATTTGTTGTTGACAAAGAACAGCTGGACATATAAATGGCCCCATTACCCTCAGCAGCTTAGGGCCTCATCAAACCTAAATCCAGCCCTGCATGCTCTACTGACTGACTGAGTTTGTTATATAAATATATTTATATCTAAATGTATTTAAATACATTGTTGTGTATTTATTTGTAGCCTGCCTGTCCCCCCCCCCGACAAGGAATCAAGGTGGCTTACAGATAAAAGTAACAGCTTGAAAACATGGGGGGGGGGTTAATTAAAAAAAACCCAATTGAACATTAATAGAATATATATCTTGTGTGTGTGGCAAAAACATGCAAATAATTACAAGGAATACAGTGTGGCAATTGCCCTTTCTTTAAAAGCAGTCCATTCCCAAAAGTCTGTTGGGACAAGCTAGTCTTCTCACCTGCCAGGCAGAGCTAATCCATCTCCATCAGGGAGGGAGTCCTAGAGTCACAGATCAGCTGCAGAGAAGGTTGTTTATTGCAGCTATATCCTACCTTGAACCCAATGGCAGTGGGTTAAAAGAAAACTGGCGCAGAAATGATGGGCTTGGCTATCTATGGGCGATTGCAGTAACGATGGTCGGCAGTTTTTGGGGGGCTGCTGGCACTTGTTGCATGTTGAAATTGGATTGTTCTCCATTGCAGGTAACATACAAATGGCTGAGCTATACACTAGGTGTTCACGTCAACCAAGCCAAGCAGTAAGTATTGATATACAGTCATACCTCTTGTTATGTTTGCTTCAGGTTAAATATTCAGGGTTACTTCCGGGTTTCACCGCATGCGCAGACGCTCAAAATGACGTCACACGCATGTACAGAAGCGGCGAATCGCCACGCGCAGAGGTGGGTTGCATTCTGCTCATGTTGCGAACGGGGCTCTGGAACGGATCCCTTTCGCAACCAGAGGTACCACTGTATTGATAAAAAGAGGAGCAAGTCTTCTCAACTGTAGCTTCAGTTCTCCTCTTAAGGCTAAATAATTCTCGGTGGGATTTTTTAAAAAAAAGATTGAGTAGACTAATTCTTTATTGGAAGCGGACTGCCTTCACTAATAATAACTTTATCAAGGAACTTAAGGGATTTATCTTCATTTTAGTGTCTCTCTCTCTCCCTCCCCCCCATTTGCGCAGGATGTTGTATGACTATGTGGAAAGAAAGCGGAAGGAGAATTCGGGAGCCCAGTTGCATGTCACCTATTTAGTGGCTGGCAACCTCGTTCAGAATGGACACACAGTGAGTGCACAGCTTCTTCCATTACAAGTACAAATGCCTTACACCTCGGGGTTGTTGCCCATAACGTATGGGCAAAGGAGTTCAGTGGGATTATAAAGGGAAAGAGAGCAGATGGGGCTTGTCAACCTGGGAAGGTAGCCCAACCAGGAGAAGGAAGACTCTGATCCTAAACATCCACCGCCTTCTGGGATATCTTTGGGAGAAGAAAAGGCTAAGGAACAAACCCTACACAAATCTGTAGTGCAGCTTGTGCACCTCCTTCCCAAAACTCCTGCAGCCAAGCTGGTGCCAAACGTATTGCTCTGCTTTTCTTAGGACCCCATCAATGAGGGTGTGTGTGTGTCTTGCCATACACACAGCCCAGGCTTGTCACCTCAGTGACAAGGACGAGGAGGTCACCTCAGTGCTGCTAATGCAGCAGTTTGACCTCACCCTCAGAGGCACACTCCATTGTTAGGACAACGGGCTAAAGAAAGCGGACAGTGCTTCTGTAGTCAGTAACAGTTATTGAAACTGTCTTTTTGAAGCATTAAGTGTTTGGGTTGAAACCAAAGTGACTAAAAATATTTGCATTTCCAACCAACTTCGCTCAGTGTGTTGAGTGTGCTACTTTCCCATACATTCTAGAGCAGCGTTCCATGCAGAAAAAGTTTGAACGCTGTCATGTCTCTACAGCAGGGGTAACCAACACAGTGCCCTCCAGATCAGGCACCTCCAAACTCGGCCCTCCAGCTGTTTTGGGACTACAACTCCCATCATCCCTATCTAACAGGACCAGTGGTCAGGAATGATGGGAATTGTAGTCTTAAAACAGCTGGAGGGTTGAGTTTGCCTATGCCTGCTCCATATGATGCTGGACTACAACTCCCATCGTCCCTCACCATTGGCTGTGCTGGCAGGGGCTGATGAGAGTTTCAGTCCACAACGTGGGAGGGCACCCTACTGGCTGCTCTTACTCTACAGCATCTGAGGTCCATGGTCAGACCTCACCTGGAGTACTGTGTCCAGTTCTGGGCACCACAGTTCAAGAAGGACACTGACAAACTGGAACGTGTCCAGAGGAGGGCAACCAAAATGGTCAAAGGCCTGGAAACAATGCCTTATGAGGAACGGCTAAGGGAGCTGGGCATGTTTAGCCTGGAGAAGAGGAGTTTAAGGGGTGATATGATAGCCATGTTCAAATATATAAAAGGATGTCTTATAGAGGAGGGAGAAAGGTTGTTTTCTGCTGCTCCAGAGAAGCGGACACGGAGCAATGGATCCAAACTACGAGAAAGAAGATTCCGCCTAAACATTAGGAAGAACTTCCTGACAGTAAGAGCTGTTTGACAGTGGAATTTGCTGCCAAGGAGTGTGGTGGAGTCTCCTTCTTTGGAGGTCTTTAAGCAGAGGCTTGACAACCATATGTCAGGAGTGCTCTGATGGTGTTTCCTGCTTGGCAGGGGGTTGGACTCGATGGCCCTTGTGGTCTATTCCAACTCTATGATTCTATGATTCTGTGATAATAGAATCATAGACTTGTAGAGTTGGAAGGGACCCCAGAAGTCATCTTGTCCAACCCCTTCTGGTGCAGGAATCTCAGCTAAAGCATCTATGACAGATGACCAACCTCTGCTTAAAAACCTCCAAGGAAGGAGAGTCCATCATCTCTGGTGGGAATCTGATCTTATTGTCAGAAAGTTCTTCCTGATGTTTAGTCGAAATCTTCTTCCTTGTCACTTGAAGCCATTGGTTCAGGTCCTCTCCTCTGGAGCAGCAGAAAACAAGCTTGCTCCATCTTCCATGTGACAGCCTTTAGGTGTTTGAAGACTGCTATCATATCTCCTCTTGGTTCCTTTTGGCATAGTAGCCCTCTTTAGACTTCATGCAATCAGATGATTTATTATTTGTGAGAGGGCAGCAGGCAAGAGCGTGTCCTCTGTGTGTGTCTGTTTTCATTTCCTTCCAGCAATGAGTCTTGTATCCGAAGGCTTTCCACACATTTTGGAATCCTGGACAATGAATGAGCAGAAGGTGATGAAAATGGGCACTGGGGGCGGGGGCCAGATCCGGCATGCTTACTCGGCTGCCCTCCTCATGAGTTGTTAACTGAAGGAAGAAATAAATGAAATGGCAACTCTCTTGTAGTAATGAGCTTGGTCCAGCAGAGGGCACTACTGTGCTGTGAAAGGGACATTCCTGAGCATTGGGTGTTAGAAATACAGTGGTACCTCGGGTTACATACGGTTCAGGTTACATACACTTCAGGTTACAGACTCCGCTAACCCAGAAATAGTGCTTCAGGTTAAGAACTTTGCTTCAGGATGAGAACAGAAATTGTGCTCCGGCGGCGCGGCAGCAGCAGGAGGCCCCATTAGCTAAAGTGGTGCTTCAGGTTAAGAACAGTTTCAGGTTAGGTACGGACATCCGGAACGAATTAAGTACTTAACCCGAGGTACCACTGTACAGTATAGGCTTTTCAAGGGTGTGGGAGGTGTTGAGCTGATACTGTTTTCTGTGATGATTTATAACTGATAATTTTAATTGTTTTGTACAATACATTTTGCAGTATTTTGTAACCCACCCTGGCACCATAGGGTGAATGGTGGATAGTTAATAATAGTAGTAGTAGTAGTAATCATAGTAATTACACACACACACACACACACACACACACACACTGTCAAGGTGTTTGCTGAAAGCTTTTTGGATATTTGGTCTGGCATGGTATATGAGAGGGCAGCCCCCCCCCAATAGGATCACTGCCTAGTACTGCAGTGGTGGGCAAGGGAAACCAGAGTTTATGGCACCTAATATCAGGTATCTTATTATTCACACAACAAGAGAAATTCACACAAGTCCTTTTGAAATACTTAAGCTAGAGGTTGGGGGACAAGACTGAGGCTGCAGTCCTAAGTTGCTTTCTTAAAAATGAGTTTTACTGAGATCTAGCAGATTTTGTTGCAGGTTAAACACGGTAAGGATCAGAATATTGCTTTACTAGCTAGAACAAAGATCTCAGGGTCATGAGTTTCAACCCCACGCTGGGTGAAATATTACAGGGGGTTGGACTGGATGGCCCTTGTGGCCCCTTCCAATTATATTATTTTATATTTTGCTTCTTTAATAAGTTGCCATTTCTTTACAGTGCCACAAGGTTGCAGTAGTGAAAGAAGAAAAGCTAGAAGGTAGGTCCATTGAGAGCTGTGCTTCCAAAGAAGCTTGCTCTGTCTTTGTAAATAATCCTAACATCACTTTTTTCCGTTTGCAAATTTATGAGTTTGGGTAGTGTTGCTAGTTTGTCTGGAACACCTTGCTTCCATGTTATTTTCTAAGGATGTTCCCACATTTGTTGCCAACTCACCTCTGTGTCGTAGTAATGCCTCTAGAGTGAGGAACGGAAAACACAGCATTTAACATTGGTTTGGAATACTTAATGCAACTATGGTGTGAGAGTGAGGAAGAGAAAATAGACAAAGCTACATAGGACTTCACATACCTTTGGAAAGGTGTCTGCAGCAGCATACTCCCATATCTAGGTAAAGGTAAAGGTACCTCTGCCCGTATGGGCCAGTCTTGACAGACTCTGGGGTTGTGCGCCCATCTCACTCAAGAGGCCGGGGGCCAGCGCTGTCCGGAGACACTTCCGGGTCACGTGGCCAGCATGACAAAGCTGCATCTGGCGAGCCAGCGCAGCACACGGAAACGCCGTTTACCTTCCCACCAGTAAGCGGTCCCTATTTATCTACTTGCACCCAGAGGTGCTTTCGAACTGCTAGGTTGGCAGGCGCTGGGACCAAGCAGCGGGAGCGCACCCCGCCGCGGGGATTCGAACCTCCGACCTTTCGATCGGCAAGCCCTAGGCGCTGAGGCTTTTACCCACATGCACTTTGTATCTGGGGGAAGAACTGTAGCCTAGTTGTAGGGCAGTCCCCAGGCACCTCCAGATAGGGCTGGTTTTTAGATCCCTGTCTGGAAACCTGGAGAGTCTCTGCCAGCCAGTATAGAAAATACTGAGCCAGGGGGACCAGTGTTCCTACTCTGTCTAAGGCAGTTTGCATGCAGGAGAGGGAGTGGACCAGAAAATAATGCAAATAGCCACCTTCCCCCACTGGCCCTCTGATTGCTCTTGGCGTGGAGATTGGTTGGCTGAAACGTGAGAGGGTTAAGGGAGCTTGTACCTGTTGGAAGTCAATTATAATAAAGAGGTGGGATGAAGCTTACCTCTGGAGAGGCTCGGCATGTCTTGCCTTATATACTTAACCATTAACTAAAGGTAAAAGGTAAAGGGACCCCTGACCACTAGGTCCAGCTGTGGCTGATTCTGGGGTTGTGGCGCTCATCTCGCTTTATTGGCTGAGGGAGCCGGCGTCCAGGCTCCGGGTCATGTGGCCAGCATGACTAAGCCGCTTCTGGCGAACCAGAGCAGTGCACCAAAATGCTGTTTACCTTCCCGCCGGAGCGGTACCTATTTATCTACTTGCACTTTGACGTGCTTTCAAACTGCTAGGTTGGCAGGAGCAGGGACCGAGCAATGGGAGCTCACCCCGTCGCGGGGATTCGAACCGCTGACCTTCTGATCGGCAAGTCCTAGGCTCTGTGGTTTAACCCACAGCACCACTTGCATCCCGTGAACCATAAACTACTGTATCCCAAAGACTTGAGGGAAATAACTTAAAAGAGCACAAACCCCTTTAATGCAGAATAGAACTTAGACTGAATGTTAACAATCCACATACCTGGTTTAAACTCTAATTTCTGAATGCTCAGTCCTTTTTCATTCTTAAGGGGACATTGCCTACGTGTCAACTTTCCCCTACCCTGTTCTACTTTTCCTTTCATCCAGTTAAACCTCTGTGTTGTCTGACCTTTCTCAGGGGGAGTTATGATGCTTCCTGTCCCCTCCTGCCTTTCCCTCTTGACAGGCTCCCCTTCCCCCACTCAGGCAACACAAACAGTATTCAAGGACCAGACTCTCAAACAACTGCCCAACAATTTTGGTGCTCCAGTTGCTGCAGTCCCTGAGGTCAAACGAGGAGACAGATGATCAGGTGTTCCCTGAATGAGTTGTCCTGAAGCACTCTCCTTGGAAGTCTCCTCTTCCTGGTTTGAGCACATGCTATTTTCACTTGCGGTCAGGACAATATCCCTCCCTGCTTTGAGGACTATGACAAGCACCAGACCCAGGCCTGGGTGGAGAGCCAGGCTTGGCTGCGTTGTGCTGTGCTGTCCTTTTCAGGCACATGAAGCACTTCTGAAGCACAGCGTGATTGCGGGGAGAATCCTGCCCCATCTCCAAACACAGGCAGTTAGAGCTTCAGAAGCGTGGTGCAATGCGTACTAGTCCCAGCCCTCGTCCTGAGCTTGGAAAAGTTGATCTGTTCCCAGTCTTGCACTCTGCTCCAGAAGCACTTAGACAGCCTCTGAGATCCAGCGCGACACCAGAGATAAAGATCCCATCCCAGGCAACAATTCTGGCCAGAATCAATGTGCCTCTGGTTGCAAGTCTGTCATTCAAAAATTGTGCAACCTCAGCCAGTTGTCCGCATGGGGTTGGGGGGGGAGTGTGATGCAGAAGCGAAAGCATCTGAGATTACAGCCAGCTACTGTAGAGGTGAGGCAGACATTCCTCCAAACTTCTGTTTCGACCAAACTCTGCTTCGTGTGATTTGATACAACCTTGGCAGAAGCGCTTGGGCTGCAAGCCCTCAGATTGTTATCGCAGGTCTAATGTTTCTCCTTCTCAGGGGAGAGGCATGTGGGCTAGACATTTTGACTACAAATGCTTTTGTAGCCATAATTCAGCTGTATGGTAGACAGTCTTACATTGTGAGTCTCTTGACAGCCAAACGTTCAGCTGCCAAGAGCATGATAGTTTCAGAATAGTCGCTTTAGGTACTGAGTGAAACTGGCAAGGAGCAATGCAGGCTTCTCAAGAGAGTCTTCTAAGGTGTCCTGGGATCGGTTCGTTTGTTGGGTGCCCATTCTCGATTTTAAGAGTTATCCCCTCCCAACATTTCCCCCAGTTTTGTGCCATGATCATACACATATTGCCATTGCCACATGTATATGGAGGCCCTAGTTTGCACAAGCTTCATCTGAGCATACAAGTGTGGCCTCCCAGCAGCCCAGTGCACTCCCAGATCGCTTGTCGAGTTGCAAACCATCCCACTGAGAAATGGTTGCTTTTTATAAGGTCCTTTCCATTTCACAGACCTGTCTTCCTTTTCAGCAATGAAGTCGAAGCTGTCCACCATTGCCAGCGTGCACGTCTACAGCATCCAGAAAGCCATGCTCAAGGACAGCAGCCCGCTCTATAACACGGACTACGATGTCATCAAAGCAAACCTGCAGAACTGCAGCAAGTGAGTTCTGTCTTGGTAACTGATCTGCTGGTCATCCAGATAAGCCCACCTTTATCTTGCCATCATTGCAGATTGTGCTCAGGCTGTAAGCGATCTCCAGAACCCGTCTCAGAGGGTTCCTTATTGTGCCCCTGCAGTAGTGGTTTCCCCCGCTCTGCTAGGAAAAGTTTTGAGCTGTTTCTCCCCCCTCACGGTGCTGGTTTTTCTTTTGCTTGCTGTTTCAATTCAGAGTTGGCAACATGCAAAGTGTCCCAAACTTTTCCTTTCTGACTCTCCGTACCAGTTTAATTGCTATGTTCTCATTTACCGTATTGGCCCGAATATAAGCTTCACTTTTTTTCCCTAACTCGGACTGTGAAAAGCTAAAGTGCGGCTTAAATTCACGACCTTACAAAAATGGGCTTTTTTACAGTATCGCTCCTGAAACAGACAGACGGTAAAACGGAACGGGTGTGAGTGCCTGTGGAATTTTAAGGGAGTGGCTTATATTCGGCTATTGCCTTTTTTTCTTTTTTCCCTCTTGCATTTTAAAGGTGCGGCTTATATTTGGGCTGCCCAAGTAAAGTATTGCTTTACTTGGATTGTCTGAATGATTATTATCTATTTAATTCATAAAAAATTGAATGTATCTTAATTGTAAAAAAAATACCTCAAAGATGTTTACAAAAGATGAACAGTAAAATCAAGAAAAATTTACACCCCTGCTTTAAGACATGCAAAAGCTGAAGTATAAAACAGGCTAAAATCACCTCAACTTTCTAAGCAGCTGAGTAGGCTTGTCTAAACAGGAATGTTTTTAGCAGGTGCAAAAAGAGTACAGTGAAGGCACTGCTTGATCTCAATAGGCAGGGAGTATTTAATATATTTATATCCTGCCTTAAGTTGGCATGAAAATAAATTTGTTCTTCTGGCCAGTTCTCTTCAGTGAAAAGAGATTCCCTTGCTTCCTGTCCAGACTGCTGTGCTTGGGCAAGTGACTCTTAGGACAAGTTTAAAAGACATTTGTATAAAAAGGAACAGAAACCTTTCTTGGTCTGCTCCCATCTTATTGGTCAGTATGACATAATGTTGTTGTCGCACATATTTAAGGAATGCATGAGAAATCATAGAATCATAGAGTTGGAAGAGGCCACAAGGGCCATCGAGTCCAACCCCCTGCCAAGCAGGAAACACCATCAGAGCACTCCTGACATATGGTTGTCAAGCCTCTGCTTAAAGACCTCCAAAGAAGGAGACTCCACCACACTCCTTGGCAGCAAATTCCACTGTCGAACAGCTCTTACTGTCAGGAAGTTCTTCCTAATGTTTAGGTGGAATCTTCTTTCTTGTAGTTTGGATCCAATGAAACAGGAATTGTTTTTCTCAGGAAACACCTTTATCCCAAGCTCTTTGAGAGTTGTTTGGCACGGATGTCAGATGATAAAATTTCCAAGTCGTGCTAACTGAAGTTTTTCCCCTCCTGCTACCCAGGTTTAGTGCTATTCACTGTGCTGCTGCAGTTGCCAGGACAGCCGCTGAAATGTCTCGTGCCGAAACCCCGGCCCAGGTGGATCGCCAGCCACCTCATGGCGTGGATAAAGCCGCTACTCCTGTGGTCAACGGCCATGCTCCCAGCGCTTCTTCAAAGCAGACCTCCCAGCAGGCCAAGGGTATTATGGGAATGTTTGCAGCCAAGTCTTCCACCAAGTCCCAGGAGACCCCGAAAGAGACCAAAGTAGAAGCTAAAGAGACACCAAGTGTAAGTTTCCAGGCGTTGGCACCCCTTGTCATCAGCTACCCCCCCCCCCCGGGACGTGGGTGGCACTGTGGGTTAAACCACAGAGCCTAGGACTTGCCGATCAGAAGGTCGGCGATTTGAATTCCCACAACGGGGTGAGCTCCCGTTGCTCGGTCCCTGCTCCTGCCAACCTAGCAGTTTGAAAGCATGTCAAAGTGCAAGTAGATAAATAGGTACCACTCCGGGGGGAAGGTAAACAGCATTTCCATGTGCTGCTTTGGTTCGCCAGAAGCAGCTTAGTCCTGCTGGCCACATGACCCGGAAGCTGTACGCCGGCTCCCTTGGCCAATAAAGCGAGATGAGCGCCGCAACCCCAGAGTTGTCCGTGACTGGACCTAATGGTCAGGGGTCCCTTTACCTTTTTACACTCCCCCCCCCCAACTTAATCTCCGGGCTGCACTGTAAAGTGCAATTTTGGACACAAAGGCATGAAAGGGAGAACAAATAGAGTTCGCTTTGACTATGTTCATTGCTTCCAGGCCTCCACAGGAAGTAGCAAGGCACCTGCTAAAGGAAATCTGCTGAACAACTTCTTTGGAAAAGCTGCTCTGGGTAAGGATTGCCGAGCCCCATTGTCAAGGGCTAAATACAGCTTACGGCATTTACATTCAAATCCTTGGCTCCAAAGGGCTTATTATAGCTAGATAAAGGATAAACTAGCAATTTGTTCCTAAGCATGCCTCTTCATTTGCAAATCTTAAGGAGTTCAGCGGGGAAATATAGGTAACAAAGGCTTGCTGAAACAAAACGTTTTCAGCAGGCTCGTTGAGGATGCCAGCATAATGTCAATAGGCAGGGATTTCCACGGCACAGGTGCTGCAATATTTTGGCTCCTCCACTGAAGGTCTGGAGGGTGGCAACACGAGAAGAGGCCTTTTCAGTGTTGGCTTCTCACTTGTTAAGTGCTCTACCCAGAGGCTCACTTGGTGCCTTCATTACTTATCTTTAGGCACCAGGCAAAAAGATTTAATTTCCCCAGGCATTTGGCTTTTAGTTATCTGTGGGTAGGTTTTTTTAGTCCTACCTTTAAAAAATATGAATTGAGTTTTAGATTTTTCTCTTGTTTCAGTTTGATGCTGGTTTCAATGTGTGTGTTACTGATTTCTTGTTGTAAGTCACTTTGAATTATTTTGTTGAAAAAGGCGACAAATAAGTCTACTTTAAAAAAAATTAATCCTGCTGTACATGCAGACCAGGCTTGAATATGTCTTGTGTGTGATTTATTACATTGCTCCAGTAGCATCTGTCCAGTTTTTCTTTTGTGGTTTTGCCACATACTTCTATCCCTTCCCCACCCTTTGTTGAGAACGGAGCCCCTTCTTGTAGCCAGATCCTACCATAGGGAACGAACTGGTAAACTGCAGCCTTCCTGCTTTCCCTTGTGACAAATGCAGGCAAAGCGAGTCCTGAACCCGAACAGCGAAAGGAAGAGAAAGCTGCAGCCAAGTCCCCGGTGGAACCCAAATCGCTTCCGGGTGCACCAGAATGTGAGAAACCCAGCAAGAAAGCTGACCCTGCAAGAGGACAGCAGAAGGACAAAAAAAGGTAGCCCTCCCCATTTAAGTTTATGGTTGTCTAAGGCTTTGGGGGTATAAATTGCCAGCTTGGCTCATTCATTTGCAGGAGTTCATTGTACTGTAACGGAGTGCCTGGAAGGGGAGGAAGGAGGCACACAGATTTTAAAAGGCCGAGTCAAGCACTGAATTGCATAAGAAGTCTTGAACTCCATTGACTTTCTTCCAGACTGATTGCACTTTTAAATGCTCAGAAACTGGAGGCAGGGTTGCAAATGACGTCAGTATTAAAGCTGGGGCTCGTTGCTGTTTTCCATCCTAATTTTTCCTTTTAAAAGCCACTCAAGTAAAATGTGCACACACATTGCAGTATTGCAGTATTACTTGAGTATTACACAAATAACACAAACAGTCCAGTGATTCAGCTTTAAACTAGCTGCAATTGTCGTCACTTCTCTGATTCTGATTTTGAGAGCAGCAGAGCAAAAGCTGCTAGATATTCTGCGACTGCTAAATTTGTGTCCAGAATAAATTATACCAATATTGCAGGCTTCTGTGAGTTTCTGGAGCTCAGATACTTCTCTTCAGCGCTAGATTTGTACGTGTATAGAGTGCCTGGAAGGACTGAGGTGCAGGTGGGGAGCATTGTAGGGGGGGGGGCGCAGAAAGGAACGGGTTGTTGAAAGACAGTGCAAGACAAGAAAAACGCATGCATGCACACACCCCATATTGCATTTGTATACTTTAGCTTGGTGCCTAATAGAAATCTATCACAGGATGACAGGAATAGCTGCTTCACCAGAATCATATAATAGCAGAATTCTGGACTGGTATCCTTCTGTGCTTACTTTTAATTTTAGCTCAAACATTTGTCTGCAGCCTGGTGCGGGCAGTTTCCTGTTGTGGAGGCCCCCTCCCCGCTTGACTTTTAGCCAGTCAGCTGACTCTAACTAGCTGCCTTGTTTTAGTCCCAGAGGCCTGGAGAAAAGGATGCCCCTTTGGCAGAAGAGCAGAGGCCGCAGTGCCCAGAGTTGTCTCTGCCACCAGCGCTAGCTAGCTGGCACCTTCCCATCAGTGCTGAAAGAAGCCATTTAATTAATTTTTTTCCCACTAGTAAAAATATGATCCTGCTAAAATGTATTTCAAAGCCACTCCAGACATCTGAGACACTACCTCATAGCGACTCCACTAAAAGAGTATTGATTGGCCGTTTGGGACGTGATTTCTTGTAAAAACTGTGCTTTGGGGACAAACTTGTTTAGACCCCCTGAGGCAGGATGAGATCCCAGGTCTGGGGGATATTAGCTTTCACAGCTCTGCAGTCGCTTTCGTAACGTGGCATTTTGCATCTGAGATGTCATTGACTTTTACGTCCTGCCCTCTTCAAGGGTTCAGAACAAGTTGATTCGTTTTGGGGGATCTTGGGTGGGCTGCTGGTCGATGCTGTTTTTAATAACACATTGTTTTGTTGGCCTCAAGTCAGAGGGTGCTGGCTGGTAGTCACCACGGGTGGCACTGTGGTCTATACCACTGAGCCTCTGGAGCTTGCCGATTGGAAGGCCGGCAGTTCGAATCCCCGCAACGGGGTGAGTTCCCGTTGCTCAGTCCCTGCTCCTGCCCACCTAGCAGTTCGAAAGCACGTCAAAGCGCAAGTAGATAAATAGGCACCGCTCCAGCAGGAAGGTAAACCGTGTTTCTGTGCACTGCTCTGGTTTGCCAGAAGCAGTTTAGTCATGCTGGCCACATCACCCAGAAGCTGTTTGTCCGCAACAGCTGGCTCCCTCGGCCTGTAAAGTGAGATGAGCGCCGCAACCCCAGAGTCGTCCGCGACTGGACTTAACTGTCAGGGGTCCTTTACCTTTACCTTTTCCAATTGCTAGGAAACCAGCAAGTGCCCCCCCCCTTAGCCCAACAGCTCCTGTGTCTCCCTTCTTACTCTGGCTTTCTGAGTGCTGTTAATGGCATGACATACATATCTGCACCCCAGGTGGTTGTGGTTCCTGATTTCTGGACTGCCGTTTGGCCTGCACTTGTCTTCCTCCGGATAGAATCACTACCTTGGATCGTTCTGTTCGTTTTTGATTGCAGAACATACGTGACCCTGGGAGCATCTTTTCAGCTCGCTTCTTCCTCTTAGAGTTCAGCATATGCAGCCGTCTTTAATTATAGGTGGTAGAAGAGGAAAAGCCTGCTGCTATTGTTCTTTGCTCCAGATTAGCAGTCGTGCGTTTTGCGTTTGGAGAAGTTGTTCTCTTTCTGCCTGTTCCACACCCCCAAATACATTTGAGGTGACGAGCCTTATTTGTTTGCAGAACAAAGAGGCTGGAGATGTCAGACGAGGAGGAGAAAGAGGTTGAGAGCCTGAAGAGAAAGAGGCGTCGGATCAAACAGCCTCAACCCGACAGCAGTGAAGACGAGGGTAAATGGAAGATGGGGGGTGGAAGTTTGATGAGATTGCACTTACATTGAAGCCAGTATCTCTAGGAGATCCTGGTCTTCTTAGAAGTATGTGGGTACAGCAGTGCTAAGCACCTGCCCTTCAGATGCTCTTTCTCCTTGCTTCTTTGCTATAAATGGTTGTTCTTTCTGCCCAGGCATACGACCCTTCGTCTTACCACTAGGGAAATGCAGACTTCTGTGCTGAAAAGAGATCGCCTCTTTGCAGGTGTTTTATTTATTTTTGAGTTGCAGAATTCTTCCCCATCATATTGGTTTCAAATGAAACAAAGAGCTTCCAATAAAACGCAGCTCATGAAAAGAAGATGCCGCAGAAAATCAAAATCAAATATATACGATATGTGATTAACAAGCAGGCTTAATTTGGATTTGGATTTGATATCCCGCCTTTCACTCCCCTTCAGGAGTCTCAAAGCAGCTAACATTCTCCTTTCCCTCCCTCCTCCACAACAAACACTCTGTGAGGTGAGTGAGGCTGAGAGACTTCAAAGAAGTGTGACTAGCCCAAGGTCACCCAGCAGCTGCATGTGGAGGAGCGGAGACGCGAACCCGGTTCCCCAGATTACGAGACTACCACTCTTAACCACTACACCACACTGGCTCTCTAATTTCTGCTGAAATTAACAGAAATTAAATCTGCTTTGTTAATCAAAGCCTGATCCCTCTCTCTGATACAGTGGCAACAGAGAGGTTGTGGCAATGAGAAGTTTGTTGTAACCAACTAAGTTCTGCTCTTGAGTAGACCTATTGAAAGGAATGGATTTAAGTCGTAGACCTATTGAAAGGAATGGATTTAAGTCGTAACCACAAATATAAGTGGATCTGCTCTTGAGTATGGCTAATGTTGGAGACAACCCTTTGTTACGCAAGATACACAAATACCCATAATTCAGTTTCTCTTTGGAAACCATGATATTTCTTTTGCAAGAAACTTTGATCTTTTTCTTTTTAGCATAACCTTGATAATAAGTAATCGAAGGGCAGCAGGAACTGTGTATGGAAGACAGTGTCCCAAATGAAAGGCAGGATGTAATTTAAAAACAAGCAAGGAGAGGCAGGAAGACAAGCATAGCACAGTAGCTCCCACCCCAAATACTGACACCCTCTGCAGGTATCAGCAGTCCCTCTTTCAAATGCAGCTCCGCTGCCCTCTAGACAAGCAGCTTGCTGGGCGATTTTTAAAAAGAAAGGTAAGATTTTTTTAAAGACATTTCTTGCAGAGTGAGACTCGTTGGCTCCCTCTTGGAGCTGAGTTCTGTTTCTTGGCAAGAGCCTGCTGCCACGAGTCTCCCCAAAGCTTTTGTTCTGTCTTCTGGGAGCAGCAGCACCTAGCCAGGCTCTCGTGACTTAGCACAGCTACCTTGTCTCAGTTAATAAGCCGGGGTTTGTTTTGTGGAGAGTTGTAGGATTCAAAATTGTTTCTAAAATGGTCCAAGTGATGGCACTGAAAGCCAAGCTGGCAAGACAATGGATACATCTCCAGGATGCTCACCTGTAGCAAGGACTTCCGTGTTCCCATTTGGGCAAATACAGGGCTGCTGTCTGTAGTAAATTACTGTATCATAAGTTGGGAACCAGATGTAGTGGGAGTAGTAATAATAATGATGATGATGATGATGATGATTTATTTATACCCTGCCCATCTGGCTGGGTTACCCCAGCCGCTGTGGGCAGCTTCCAACCGCATATTAAAAACAGTACAGCATCAGACATTAAAAACTTCCCTAAACAGGGCCGCCTTCAGTTGTCTTTTAAAAGTAAAATAGTTGTTTATTGCCTTAACATCTGCTGGGAGGGCGTTCCACAGGGCCGGCGCCACTACCAAGAAGGCCCTCTGCCTGGTTCCCTGTAACCTCACTCTTAACCTGTGCTCTGAACACAACAGGCATCCAGCAAGCCAGGCAGCAGAAGAACTTGGGAGGCCACCGTTAAAGTGTAATTAGCAGCATCACAGAAGAAAACAAAACCAGATACTGTGTTGGTTTGTCCCAGGAAGGCTGGGAATACACAGTTAAAGCTGTTCCTCTACCTTAAAGGCTGCATGGTGGAGATGGTCATCATAACCTTTGCTGCTGCCATTTAGTATTCGTATACCAACATCAAGGTACAAATGGAACCTTGTCACTTTTTTGCAACTAATGTATATGAGCACCTGGTGTACAGGCTGGACTTTTTCAGTAGCACCTTGCAAGTTACAAAGGGTCTTGCTGGAGGGGTGAACCGGATTTTTCACCTTGACCCCAACTGCATTTATTCTCACAATCTGATAACCACGAGAATTTGGGATTTAAGCCCTTAAAGGAACCTCTTGGTTGCTGCATCAGTCCTCATCAATACGAGGACAGCACACCTTGGCTGCTGCCACTGCTTCATCTGACTGTGCATATTGAGGTGTGTATTTTTGTGCGCTGCCCCATGCGCTGCCATCCACCTCACTGCTCATGTTTCCACTCCTCCCCTGACAGAAGAACACAATTCATTCTTCCGTGGTTGGAAGCCGTCCACCAGTAGATCTCAGCCCTGCTTAACCTGCGAAAGGTCACTTGGCCTGATGTCTGGCCCAGACGCAGCATTCCTGGTATTGACCTAATAAGCTGGGCTGGTTTCACGTCCAAAAAAATACAAGCCGCAACTACGGTATGAGCACAGAGCTGCTGCCAGCCGAAAGTGGATTGAAAGGGAAGCTTGGCAGGTGTTCTGTCCAACATTTCCGTTGTTTCTATTAAGCAAGCAGGTTAGCAGGGCAAGTCCCTTCTCTGCTTGCTTACTTACCCTGAGAGAGGCTCCCCATGGCAGTTGTTCTCCTTGAACTCAGCAGGGCTCCCTTGCAACCTTTCAACTAGTCAGGGTGACGCAGTGGGGGGTTGAATGATACAGGTGCCGCTGCTAACGCAGTTTCCGCATTCCTGTCAGCTCAGGGGAGCATTGAAATGAAATCTGCCTTGTGATCATCAATGGCTTTCGCCATTCTCTTTGGCAGAACAACAACAGGTTGTAACTTGCTGCCGTAGCTGAACCCAAATAGCACAGAGTGCTCAACGCGAAATGCCCAGGGTTTAGTCAGGATAGGATCCGAGGACCAAAACATTTTTGAAAGCGTCTTGTGGAATTGAGGAGAGGTTAGTAACCTCTGTATTGACGTGGTTTTTAGACTGCTTGATTGTATCAGGGTTTTTTTAAAGCCACCTCCAGCCATTAGAAGGGACGCAGGTGGTGCTGTGGGTTAAACCACAGAGCCTAGGACTTGCCGATCAGAAGGTTGGCGGTTCGAATCCCTGTGGGGGGGGTGAGCTCCCGTTGCGCAGTCCCTGCTCCTGCCAACCTAGCAGTTTGAAAGCACACCAGTGCAAGTAGATAAATAGGTACCGCTCCAGCGGGAAAGTAAACGGCGTTTCCGTGCACTGCTCTGGTTCTCCAGAAGCGGCTTAGTCATGCTGGCCACATGACCCGGAAGCTGTATGCCAGCTCCCTCGGCCACTAAAGCGAGATGAGCGCCGCAACCCCAGAGTCGGTCACGACTGGACCTAATGGTCAGGGGTCCCTTTACCTTTACCTTTATACAATGAACTGGCCTCCACAGTCATTTATGGACTCCACAAACCGTGTTTATGGAAGACAATCTTAGTAGGCGAAGAGTGATCGCCAAAGAGAGAAGAAAGAGACCTGTTCAGACACCTTTCGGCACCTGAAAGCCTGGCCATCTAATGGCACAGCAGGCCTGAGGTGTAGTGGGTATATCACAAGGGAAAGCGGAGTATTTCTGGGAGCCTTTAGGAATTTGTCTTCTTATGATCCAGCTCATATATCTCAGTGTCAGGGATCTCCTGCAAAATCTCAAATCAGAGCTTTCAGTACTGAAGGATAAGTTTTTATTGCTGCTTGTGGCAGAGAACGTTTTAAATGTGTGAATTTACAGGAGTGTTGGGCTATAACATGAGTTTTTCCGAGGGGTTTGTTAGAAAAGTTGCTTTGAGTCCATCCTACCACACGTCTCTGTACCCTCTCGCCCAAAGAATCAAACACATTTAAGAGCCTATATTGGCTGACCAAAATGGAGCGTGTACACTTTTGCTTTTGAAAGGTGCCTCACTGCTTCATTTTCCAAGCTGACATCAGGGGCCCTTATGAAGATCAGGCCTCAAATACGCATTTCAGTGGCTGATTTAGAAATGAGGCATGTTTGCCCTGGCTTGAACTAGACAAGCAGTAATAAATATCCAATGTGCCATGTGGAGGTACATGAGGCTGCTACCGTTCCTTGGTTCTGTGATGGAAGCAAGGCAAACTGCAAAGGTAGGAAAATAAATGAATAGAATGACACAATAATGCTGCAATCTCTCATTGGGCCATGGTTCCAAAACTGCAACTTAACTCCTCTTTTCCCCTGTAGATGTCCCGGAATCGCCTGTAACTCCTGAAGTGAAAGACCTTTCTCCTGAGCCAGACCCGAACCCAGAGCCTGATCCTCTGCCCATGGAGGTAAAGACTGGTTTTGCAGGCATGTTTCAGACAGTGGGAAACCCCACATTCTGAACATGGGGTTGTCTTTTATACAAACGTCCTTCGCTTGCTTGGCTTATGTAATTTTATGGAGTGGGGAGAGTTTTTGTGGGGTTGGTAAAAAAAAGGTAAAGGGACCCCTGACCGTTAGGTCGCGTCGTGGCCGACTCCGGGGTTGCGGCGCTCATCTCGCTTTACTGGCCGAGGGAGCCAGCCTACAGCTTCCGGGTCATGTGGCCAGCATGACTAAGCCGCTTCTGGCGAACCAGAGCAGCGCATGGAAACGCCGTTTGCCTTCCCACCGGAGCAGTACCTGTTTATCTACTTCACTTTGACGTGCTTTTGAACTGCTAGGTTGGCAGGGGCAGGGACCGAGCAACGAGAGCTCACCCCATCACGGGGATTCGAACCGCTGACCTTCTGATTGGCAAGTCCTAGGCTCTGTGGTTTAACCCACAGTGCCACCCGCGTCCCTTCTTGTGGAGTTGGAGGGAGAAGGAATTAAGGAGGAAGTCTTACCTGGGTCTAAACTATATTTCTAAGGTCTCAGTAGAAGCTTCATTTGCTTCTTAATCTTGCTTAAAAATATTTATATAAATGTATCTCAAGCTGTTGCTTCTCATATACTAGATCACTGGCCCAAAGTGGCAGAATTGGGAATGTAGTGCAAGATGAGTGATTCTCAGTTCAGCTGTAATTGCTTTCATTGCCTTCTTTGACACCGATGGGCTTAGTGAGAAGTGAATTCTTCGTGGCCACAGCCTCCATTACAAATGATCCGACCCAGTCATGCAATCACAAGCAGATGCCACTTTGCTCTTAACGCTTGGCTGAAAACCCAAAATTTGGCAGAGAGACAAAACCTATTTGCGTTATTGTCGGAGTCGGTTAACATCTCCAGAAGCCCAAAAGGTTTCCCTTCAGAATCAATTCAGCAAACTTCTCTCTTCAAAGTGGGGTGAATGAAGAAATTGGATGTATTCTGGTTGTTATAAACGCCACCCAACTTCCAACTTTCCCCAGCTACGCACTTTGATTTTAAAAGCTGAACTGATTTTTCTTTTTCTTTTTAGGGGTGCTTATTTCTGAGTAAGGGACGCGGGTGGCGCTGTGGGTTAAAGCCTCAGCGCCTAGGACTTGCCGATCGAAAGGTCGGCGGTTCGAATCCCCGCGGCGGGGTGCGCTCCCGTCGTTCGGTCCCAGCGCCTGCCAACCTAGCAGTTCGAAAAGCACCCCCGGGTGCAAGTAGATAAATAGGGACCACTTACTAGCAGGAAGGTAAACGGCATTCCGTGTGCTGCGCTGGCTCGCCAGATGCAGCTTGTCACACTGGCCACGTGACCCGGAAGTGTCTGCAGACAGCGCTGGCCCCCGGCCTATAGAGTGAGATGGGCGCACAACCCTAGAGTCTGGCAAGACTGGCCCGTACGGGCAGGGGTACCTTTACCTTTACCTATTTATGAGTAAATTGCATAGATCCAACTTGTAAAATACACCTCTCTGCTTTTGGAGGCAGAGGGAATTACAAGTGGGGAGGGTGCTGTTGCAGTCAGGTCCTCCTCGTGGGTTTCCCAGAGGCCTCTGGGCAGCCATTGTGAGAATAATGATTGATGATGAGGATAATAATAATAATTTATTATATGCTGCCCCTCGGACTGCGTTGCTCAATTCACTCTGGGCGGCTTCCAGCAAATCAAAACATCAAACACAGTAAAACATTGAAATCTTCCCTGCTTTCCGACCGGAGGAATGGCCTCTTCCATTGGTAGCACATTGAGCCCCTCCCCTGGTCCCTGGCAGCCACTAGAAAGGGGCAAAAAAGTAGATACTGTTTGTCGCAATGTTCACTGCACACCATCTTCACAGTCTGCACTGTCCTCTTTTTTAGGCATCGGCAGGAGAGAAGAAACGGAAGCGGAAGCGAGTGCTGAAGTCCAAAACGTTTGTGGATGAGGAAGGCTGCATAGGTGAGGCTTAGCTGTGGGCCTGTCCTGGGATTAGCCAATGAACCGTGTTCGTTTTAACTGATCTATTAAGTAACGTAAACAGTAGCAAAAACAGCGAGCTGCTGTTGGATACGGGAGGGCAAATCCCTTTGGGCTCTCTATTAACAGGTGCGGTGCAATTTGCGTAGCATCCTAAGTTACCCTGCCAAGCTCGGGACGTGCTGGCATTTTGTGTAGGACCCCTTTCTCAAGACCCGTTGGAAGTGGGGGCCTTGGGAGCCTGGAGGAAAGTGGGGAAGTCTGTCTGTGTGTTGATGAGAACCCTTGGTGCGCATTCGTCATGCAAACCTCTAGCCTGGGTTTTGTCAAGTTAGAAATGGATTAAGGATCTGACTTTTCAAGTTTGGCCAAGTGTTCTGGCCTCCACTTCAGGCGCCTCCGAAGAAACAGGCTCTTTCTTTTCTGTCTATCCTCAGCCAACCTCCCCCCCCCCCGTCCCCCACCTCTCCGAAAGGATGCATCCAGAGCTTGCAATAACAAAGATGGACCCCCCTCCCCTTCCAAAGAAAGTGTGGGTTTTACTCTTTAACTTCAGTCTTTTCTAAACATGTCAAGAGTGGGAAGCTTTCCTTCACCACTTGGAATAAATAGTCCTCTCTGGAATGCTGACATTACCGATTTGCAGTCCAGATCCGGCCCGGTTCATTGCTACCCGCACCTCTGGTGTGTTCTTGGCAGACGGTCTGGTGTAGCAAAGAAAGAACGGAAAGGAATCGTGGTGAGAATTGTTTGGGTGGGAGAAGAGGCCTAGCCATACATTCAAGTCAGAGATCTGAATGTTGCCTTTGCCAAACTTCCAGAATGTTTGTATTTGTATATGCACATCTGTCGGGTTGGGATGAGGGGCATTTGGGTCGTAGGTATGTAGAGGATTTCTAGGTGTCCAATCCAGAGAGATTTCCCACTCCTCCCATGTTTAACTTTGGCTTCCTGTTGGGAGCCAAGCTATTATGGCTTGCGTCAGGGGTTTCATACTACAGTCATACCTCGGGTTGAATATGCTTCGCGTGGAGCGCATTCGAGTTGCGCTCCGCGGCAACCCAGAAGTAACGGAGCGCGTTACATCCTGGTTTCGCCGCATGCGCAGATGCTCAAAATGATGTAACGCGCATGCGCAGAAGTGGCAAAAAGCGGCGCGCGCAGGTATGCCGTCACTAGTTGTGTTTCCTTCTGGATGCGAACAGGGCTGCGGAACAGATCCTGTTCGCATCCCGAGGTACCACTGTATATGGATTCAGTCTAAGGGTGAGGAAAGGCCAGCAGGCCCAGGAATATAGTTCTCCAGCAGAAGAGCGGTGAAGGAAAGATGGGAGTTGGGTTGGGCAGCAATTAGGACTCCGTGCCGTGCTTGCCTCCTTTGGTAGCCTTCAGAATTGGGGGGTTGATCTGGGGCAGTTTTAAGAGACTGTTGGGTAACCCAGAGGCTGCAAGAATCAGGGACTTTCCAGTGGTGCAAACGGTTCACACCGCCCTTTTGTTTCCAGTGACCGAAAAGGCTTACGAGAGCGAGTCCTGCACAGACAGCGAAGGCGACTTCCGCTCCAAGCCCTCCGCAGCTCGCAAGCCGCCTGCCGGGGCTGCCAAGAAAGAGCCCAAGGAGGAGAAGAGAGGCGCAAAGAGAGCCACAAAGGCCAACAAGCAGGCTTCCATCATGGGCTTCTTCCAGAAGAAATGAGCTCCAGCCGCTGCCTGGTTTGCAGAAGCTGCATCAGAGGAGGCCGCCACCCTTTTTGAGGCACAAATACTTACCGTGTAAGTGGGCTTTCTCCGGAACCGGGAAACGAGACTCGCCACACGTGGGAACCTTTCGGTGCCAAAGCTGCTTAGAAAGCAGCCACTAGAGGCAACAGAGTCGCTGTTCGAGAATCAAATTAATTTGCTTTGTGCGGGCCTCTGAAATATATATCTCTATATGTAAAGGCCAATTGTTTCTTTTAGCCGCCCCGTCCTGCGGCAAGCCCCGCAGGTGGGCTGGCCTCTCCCACTGGCTCAGGTCAACGAAATGTGACGCGTCTCAGTATCCCCACCAGCTATCGCTGTCCCACCTCCAACCCTTTCCTCTCCACAGTGGTGCCTTCAGAGAGCTTGATGGAGTCTTCAAGGTTTCTCTGCGGCCAGGCAGCTATTTGGAAGGGAAATCTCGCGGGCCCTTCACACGGTTGCCTGCTCTTGTAGCTATGCGGAAGGGCAGCGATAGCTTAAGAACGTTGGTGGGTCTTTTTCCTTGCCTCAACCAAACGCTGTGAAAGGCGGGAGAAGCAATGGCAGCTTTAGAAATGTCGAAAAGAGTATTCTGGCCTGAGTCTTGACGCAGGCTGCCTCTGTTATGATAAACACTGGAAATGAGAAACAATTCAGGACCAGCCCGGACTGCCCTCTTCGCTCCATCTGTTTGTATGGGGCTTTTGCCCAAATAATCTTTTGCCCTTCTCATCTTCCTCCTGTCATTTGGAAGGGGAGCCCAACCAAAGACCACCTGTAGCTGCTGCCTTGCATGGCGTTTGCACGAGTTTTAGCATAAACAAGGTGGGATGGGGTCTCTGACTGGTTGGCTTCCTTGATCAACTGCCAAGCAGGGTGTGTCCCCCCCCCACTTTAATGGAGAAACCACTTGTTAATGAGGAACCAAATGACGAGCAACCCCGTTTCGGAAGATCCAACTCTTTTTTTTTAAAGTTAGAATGAAAGGAAAGGAGCAGGGATGGAGACCGGCCATTCTTCTCACAGTGCTGCAGTTTGGACAGATCCGTTCAATGAAACATTAAGAGAGGGCAAGAACTCCATTCTGGTTTGGTTTAGGTCTGGCGGTGGAGTGGGCAGTCTTCCACAGCCACTCACTAAACCACAACCAAAATAGAGTAGCAGGTAGAGCTGCTGGTGACATAAAAAAAAAGTCATTTGCCTATTATAGATGGTGCCCAGGCCAAAGGAAAAACAAAAGGGGTTCATTATTCAAACCCCGTATTACAGAAATAATATTTTATTTTGAGGCTTAGCCGTGGAGGTTTCTCAGCCTCCCCAAGCCCCTGCTGAAACTAGTCTGGTTTCTGAAATCCATTATTTGAACAATCGGAATCCGTTCACGGCTGTGGCAGATGCACGAACCGGCCTGCCCCTCTGGCTGGCGTCCTTGGGGGTTTCACGTTCAACATGGTGTTCTTGTAGTTGCTGATTTTATAATGAAGTGCATTCAGTCCTTAGCCCAGGCCTGCAGGCTGACCTTCCTGACAGACAAGCCTGCTTGGCCTTCTCATCCCAGCTTTCCCCTACGCTTGGGAAGGTGGGTTTGGCAGCATCCTCGCCTACGACCATTCCTTCCCCAACCTGGTGCCCTCCAGATGAATTTGACTATTAACTCTCACCAGACACAAGCAGCAGGGGTGTTCTGGTGAGAGAGTTACAGCCCAAAACATGGAGGGCACAATGTTGAGTGAGACTACTCTTAAGGAGTTCAGGCCAACAGCTGAGTAAGGCTTCACATCCTTGGGTTAGCGTTGGTTATTTTTAATATGAAATAGGAGGCCTCTGCTGGAAAGCCTTAGTCCATTTTTTGCCAATCTTTTTTTTTTTAACTCTTTCCCAATAAAATAACACTTTCCCCTTCCTCCTTTGTGTGCTCAGATGTTTATGTTGGGGGAAAAAAGCAAAATGTTAAATAAAGATGCGGTCTTCTGCTAAACATCTTTTTTTTAATAAATAAAAAATCTTGCTGAAGATATGTTTTTGTGTCTGAACTTGTGCTACTACCGCTTGGCTGAAGCATTTTCATTGAGCTTTGAAGGTTTTTCCATGCAACCGAATACTTAGGATGAAGTCGTCCAAGAACTCTCTCTATCATGTTCAGAAGTACAAATACACATATAATTTAAAAGCCAGCTGGAATTCCTCACCTATCGCAGGGCAGCCAGGGATTTCAGAAGGGGCTTTTGAGCTGCTCAGCCTGCTGTCGACCCTGTCCTTTGGATGGATGAAACAGTCACATGACAGCTGGGCTCATCTTGCTCGCCCATCAGCAACATGCAAGCTGGGGCTGATGGGAGTTGTGGTCCAAAACATCTGGAGGGGCACCAGGGGGGCATAGGTGCCCCAGAACCTGTACCACTCTGATTGGACGGGGGTGGCACTGTGGTCTAAACCACTGAGCCTCTTGGGCTTGCCAATCAGAAGATCAGCGGTTCGAATCCCCGCAACGGAGTGAGCTCCCTTGCTCTGTCCCAGCTCCTGCCAACCTAGCAGTTCGAAAGCATGCTGGTGCAAGTAGATGAATAGGTACCACTGTGGTGGAAAGGTAAACGGCGTTTTCGTGCACTCTGGTTTCAGTCATGGTGTCCCGTTGTGCCAGAAGTGGTTCAGTCACGCTGGCCACATGACCCGGAAAGCTGTCCGTGGACAAACGCCGGCTCCCTTGGTCTGAAAGCAAGATGAGCGCCACAACCTCATAGTCGCTTTGACTGTACTTAACCGTCCAGGGGTCCTTAGCATTGCATCCACTTGTTTTTGGTTGTTGATTCCACCAAAAGAGATGGATGGAGTAAGAACTGACCAGTTGGTTAAATAAACTCTGAATTGGGTGGGTTGCAAAACATGAAACAGTCTACTTTTTGTTACAGATGGGTAGCTGTGTTGGTCTGCCATAGTCAAAACAAAAAAAATTCCTTTCAGTAGCACCTTAAAGACCAACTAAGTTAGTTCTTGGTATGAGCTTTCGTGTGGTATGAAGAAGTGTGCATGCACACGAAAGCTCATACCAAGAACTAACTTAGTTGGTCTTTAAGGTGCTACTGGAAGGAATTTTTTTTGTTTCTACTTTTTGTGTGTGTGTGTACATAATTTTTATTAGTTTTCAATTACAAAATAGCAAAAACAAAAGCGCCAAACATACTCAGTTCTGGAAGTCCATTTGACTTCCAAAATGTTCAGAAACCAAGGCACAGCTTCTGATTGATGCAGGTGCCCCAGAAATAATAGCCAACAGCCGCATTGGATGTCCGGCGTCCAAATAACATTCGAAAACTGGAACACTCATTTCCGGGTTTTCAGAGTTTGAGAACCAAAGTGTTTGAGAAGCAAGGTACCAGTGTATTTACTTAGCAAGAGGAGCTATTGTCTGGTGGCAAACTTTGGTAGTCCCCACAATAGTGAGACTTAAATGACAGCCTTCCGCAATCTGCCACTCTGCAGATATTTTGGACTCGGGCTGGGGCTGAGCTGCATAGTCCCAAGACATCTGCATTTCTTGAGGCTGAGAAAGACTGCTGCAAATAAAGTGCTGGGTTACATTTATACTGATGGCAGCTTTCATACATTCAGTTTCATCAATGCATGTGGCGTTTCACAACATTTTTGTGTGCAGAGGCAGTAGCGCTCTAACCTTTCACAGTGGTCACACAGATGAATGAGCATGTGCAGTTATCCGCCCTCTGGCTTTGCTTGGGATGAGGATTAAGGAGTTAAGTCTAAATCTTAGGAGAAAATTACGGGCTTGAATCAGGAGAGAATTGAAGTAACATAGATGGAACAGCGGAAGGGAGTTATTGTAACAAGGCGCAGCTAATGCTAAAAAGTGTGGCGTTGTGAAAGAGTTTTAAAAAGGTCTCCAGTAATTCTTGTAGGTGCAGGAGGAACAAGGCAGGGGAAGTGTGATAAAGGATTCCATTTCAAAGGAACTTTTCCAGGAGAAGCAGCAGTAAATCTGGGGCAGTGGATGTGGCCTTTAAAGGATAAAAGTAACCTCCCATCATTTCCCTCCCAAAGTGCTCTTCCACATTCCCTGAGAGCAGCAGCAATTATTATTATTATTATTATTATTATTATTATTGTTATTGTTATTGTTATTGTTATTACTACCTCGCCCATCTGGCTGGGTTTCCCCAACCATTCTGGCTGGCTCCCAACACGAAAAAACGTTATAAAACATCCAACATTAAAAAGCTTCCCTATACAGGGATGCCTTCAGGTGTCTTCTAAACGTCAGATTTAGGGAGGGAGGGAACAGCCAGAAGGCCCTTGGAGCTGGACCTCAGTGTCCGGGCTGGACGATGGGGGTGGAGATGCTCCTTCAGGTATACTGGGCCGAGGCCATTTAGGGCTTTAAAGATCAGCACCAACACTTTGAATTGTGCTTGGAAATGTAGCAGATGGAGCTGGTAAACAGCTGCCGTGGACACAGACTAGACCTGCGCCTCTATGGACAGCGGTGAGTCCAAAATGACTCCTAGGCTGCGCACCTGGTCCTTTAAAGCCTTGGTTTAGGGCTTTTAAGGTCTGCACCAACACTTTGAATTGTGCTTGGAAACATCCTGGGAGCCAATGTAGGTCTTTCAGGACCGGAGTTATATGGTCTTGGCGGCCACTCCCAGTCAGCAGTCTAGCTGCCGCATTCTGGATTAGTTGTAGTTTCCAGATCACCTTCAAAGGTAGCCCCACGTAGAGCGCATGGCAGTAGTCCAAGCGGGAGATAACTAGAGCATGCACCACTCTGGCGAGACAGTCTGCGGGCAGGAAGGGTCTCATCCTGCGTACCAGATGGAGCTGATAAACAGCTGCCCTGGACACAGAACTGACCTGCCCCTCCATGGACAGCTGTGAGTCCAAAATGACTCCCAGGCTGCACACCTGGTCCTTCGGGGGCACAGTTGCCCCATTCAAGACCAGGGAGTCCCAGGGAGACTTCAAATCTGGTCCAAAATGATTTGACTGCATTTCTCCCTGTAATGCTGCACATTGTCTCTAGAGGGAGTTGTGCCTTTTTTTGCCTTAGCATCCCGTTGACATCCATTCAGTGCTACCTGCAGCTGGAACATAGGAAACTGCCTTTGCCGAGCAAGACCATTTTGCAGCATGGGCCCTGAGGGCCAGTCTCCGAGCAAAGAAGGTTCCTGCGTTCCTGCTGCTCAGAATCAAAATTGTTTCAGTATGCAGGCAAGTCATTAGAACTCAGGACATACCGTATATACTCGAGTATAAGCCGAGGGGGGCTTTTTAGCATAAAAAAATTGCTGAAGAAATCAGCTTAAACTCGAGTATATATGGTAATAATTCAATCCACAGCTCCGCCCTAGGGCATGTGGAGCTACATAGAGTGCCTCTGAGCCTTTGGGGAGTGCCTTTGCAGGCAGCCAGGAACCTGTAAAATGATGCTTTTTGCGCTTTTCTGTTGCAAACCGCCCTGCGATCTTCGGATAAAGGGCGGCATATAACTTTAATTAGCAATCAGAAGAAGAAAAAGCATTCAGACCTTGGCGCTTGCTACATCCAGGCCTGCAAGGAAGCTGGCTTTCTCATTAGCAGAAAGGTCAAGCTGTTTTGCTGCTTTGAGGTCTGGGAATGGCTCCAAATTAACCTCTGTGCATGATATTAATAAGGAGAGAGCGAAAGGCCACCATTTCAATGGGGAAGAAACAACGGCAGGCTGGCAGCTTCTGAACCCCAGGCTGGGAGCAGCAGGTGGCTGGCTCCCTGTTGGCGTCGCGATTGACGTACGCCAACCTTGGCTGCCTGCTTGTGCCTGCAAGAGCAGCAGGGGCTCCGAGGTCAGGGCTGAGGTGTGTCGTCAGGCCAGGGCGGAGGTATTGGGTCACAGATCAGGTACCCAGGTGGGTCCTGGGTCAGATCCAGCTCTGGTCTGATGGGAGGTCAGAAGCGATGCACGTTAGCAGAAGTAAACTTGATGTAAGGAGGGAGGGGGAGGGATCTATTGGTCCAGGTGATGAGAGGAGCCTTGGAGGAACTGCGGGAAAGCAAATAGGGACGAATAAAGTTAGCAGCAGCTCCTCCCGTTACTGCTGTTGTTGTTTAGTCGTGTCCGCCTCTTTGTGACCCCATGGACCAGAGCACACCAGGCCCTGCTGTCTTCCACTGCCTCCCGCAGTTTGGTCAAACTCATGCTGGTAGCTTCGAGAACACCGTCCCACCATCTCGTCCTCTGTCTTCCCCTTCTCCTTGTGCCCTCCATCTTTCCCAACATCAGGGTCTTTTCCAGGGAGTCTTCTCTTCTCATGAGGTGGCCAAAGTATTGGAGCCTCAGCTTCAGGATCTGTCCTTCCAGTGAGCACTCAGGGCTGATTTCCTTCAGAATGGATCGGTTTGATCTTCTTGCAGTCCATGGGACTCCCAAGAGTCTCCTTCAGCACCAGAATTCAAAAGCATCCATTCTTTGGCGATCAGCCTTCTTTATGGTCCAGCTCTCACTTCCATACATTACTACTGGGAAAACCAGAGCTTCAACTATATGGACCTTTGTCGGCAAGGTGATGTCTCTGCTTTTTAAGATGCTGTCTAGGTTTGTCATTGCTTTTCTCCCAAGAAGCAGGCGTCTTTTAATTTCGTGACTGCTGTCATCATCTGCAGTGATCATGGAGCCCAAGAAAGTAAAATCTCTCACTGCCTCCATTTCTTCCCCTTCTATTTGCCAGGAGGTGATGGGACCAGTGGCCATGATCTTTGTTTTTTTGATGTTGAGCGTCAGACCATATTTTGCGCTCTCCTCTTTCACCCTCATTAAAAGGTTCTTTAATTCCTCCTCACTTTGCAAACCCAGAATACAGTTATGCAGGATAAGAAAAGCCAGGGAGAATCTGTTCAATTTGCATCAATGCTGCAGGG